ATATCTATTTTGTATTATTAAAGATATAAATATTGGTAAATAATTTTTGCTTAGTCTGACAAAAATCTCCGTTGAATCGTCAAATATTCAATGCATAAATGCACTGACTAATGTTGACATATTGGAAATATATATTAAGCTATAAAAATAAATCATTTTTTTAAATTTGAAAATTTCTGTTGGATGGCTATCAAATGACACCCAATTTCTATGATATATATAACATAATTATTTATTTTAGCTAATAGATAAAATTGATAATGCATTTCTTAAAATCTTATAGAAAAACATTCTGAAACCTAATTTCCAAATCCAGATTCAAGTTTTGAAATAATTTTTAAAAAATCGTCATTAATCTGATCCTAAATCCGTTATTTTTCTAAACTCAGGTCTATGGATGGTTTTTTTAAAATCATTTTTTATAATATCTTATTGCAAACAACATGTAGAAGGCCCAGAGTCTGAATATTCAATTTTTAACTTAAGGCGTTAAATATATATTTATTTTATGAATTTGGTGGGAGGAGGGGGGATTTAAATGCTCAACATAATAATCTTAATAGATAGTTTTGAAATAATTAGTTTCAGTTTTAAATTAAACAACCAATCTAACTGTATCCCTAAACCTAAATTAACGTGTAAATACATAATGTCGATCAATTATAACAATTTACTAAAACGGTGAAATTCGATTAAAATAAAATATATACAAAATCAATACCTACTAACGCCTTAAACTCTAGTCTCTTTCCTAGATACCTCAAGTTTTCAAAAGACTTGCCTATATACCGAACATTAGGAAATAATATATAAGCCACCTCTTACAAACTCTGTTAAATTATGTAAACCATATTTATAAATATTAATTTTTTTTTTATTTTTTTTTTAAAATTAACTTTATTATTTATTCATAATCATTAAATTACAGAGGATTAAAAAATATATATTAAAATGGATATATTAAAAATTAAATATAAAAAAAATATAATATATATTTATATATAATCTATGAAGACATTAAAAAGGACTAAAAAAATATATATATATTTAAAAAAAAGGGGGGCATATATCATCCAAGAGAAGAGTGAATACTTAAAAAATTAGACCGGCAAATTTCCAGGGAAATCTGCTGGCGAAGGTAAAATCCTTCATTGGGGTCCCCTGAGATCTGTATCATTTTTTTTCCTATGATTTTAATGAAATTGAGGGCCTCGTTTCTAAACATGCCTAGGGTATTGGTAACGATAGGAATGAACATAGTGTTGGCGAGGCCAGCGTATTTATTTTTAAGGATTTCTGCCTTTTCGATAGCAGAAAATGAGAGGTTAGACTTGGCTGCAAAATCAACGCAAGTGTAATCCCATGTTAGCGGAAGACCGTTAGACCAGGATTTGAGAGAAATACCATCCGGGCGTATGGCGTATTCGTTTGAAAGACCCACTGGTTCGAGGGTAGATGGGATATTAACTTTTTGAGGGCGGCTAGTAAGATGTTATTGATAGATTTATGACGAGGTTGTCGTCCACGGGAGAACTTGCAGTGCAAGGGATGGTAAGCCTACGATTCAATGGGCTGACCACAGTCGATGCAGATGGAGGGAACTACGACATTACAGCCGAGGCGGAGGGCTATAGATATACGTAGCTGTTCGCCAGTCATGAGGAGGCCAAGATTGGCGCTGGGGATGGCTTCCAACCATTCGTAGCCAGAGTTTGCATTTAGTACCATATTATTGGGATTTTCCTCAAATGGCCTGTTCGAAATAAGATATTCAACTGAACGGGCGATCAGAGGAGCATCCCAGTCTTTTTGGGTACTGGAAGCGGGACGGCTAAGGGTGGGAGAGCAGTTGTTGTCCCAAAAGGTGAGGGCCTGTGAGAGGTCAGTATCTGAAGAAGTAGATCCATTGTCGATAATAGATTGAGCAGCAAGACGAGATGAGATAAAGGCTGAGAGGAAAAGTTGTAAGGGGGATCGGATACCAATACCACCAGACTTGCATGTAAGGGTGGCCTGGAGCCAAGATGAATTGGAGAATTTAAGGTTTAATATGTTTTCTAGGAGATCCTTAATTTGGGTTTCGTGGGAAACTAGCAAATGGCTGCATTTGAAGATCGGTGAGGATCTCAGGGCATAGAAGATTTTGGGTATATTAAAATAGTTTTTGATTAAAAAAAAGGATTGGTAAGCGGGTAGGAAATTAAAAAGTTAGTTTAAATTAGATAAATTGTCGAGGGATTTGTTTAAAAAAGTTTCGATTGCTTTTTCACCCCCTATAGGTGATCCAAGATGTGTCATCTCTTCTCTGTTGATGGCGAGGAATGTGGTTTCTGAAGGGATGGATGTTGTAGGGTTTAAGAAGCAAATCTCACATTTGGGGAGGTTGAGAGATAGTCTTGTTATATAAGAGAGATTTTCGATGATGGGGGGAATGGACATGACTGTGGAGAGGTTGTATGAGACTATACCGTCATCGAGGTACCAGGAATTTAAAGTGAGGTTAGATATAGATTGAATATCCAGGATTATCTTGTGTATCCCGATGCAAAAAAGGGCTGGGCCTAAGGGGTCTCCTTGTTGGATTCCCTCCTGAGATTTTATTATGTTGTTATTGTACTTTAAAAAAGTAGGGCTAGAGTAACTGTTGAGAATGTATGTAGAATATTGAGGATATTTGTGGCAAAAAAAGGGAACGAAATATTGACGTTTGATTGTATTGAAAGCATTTTTGAAATCAAGTTTTAAAACGACATTGTCTGGAATATTATTTGAGAGGGTAATGCGAGCCATTTTTTGTTTCAAGACTGTTGTAGACAATATTTAATAAAGCGTTTGCTGTTTATTTCTTCAAAAACAATAAACACTTTAATATAAGATGCATCATTGTCCGTCTTATAATTATCAAATATTTAGATAGTTTTGACAATCAATTAACGAATGTTGTATGATAAAATTAAATTATGGTTGATTTGTTTAAATCGATCCCATGTATATGATGGCTTCGTCCACTTGTATTCTTTTTAAGGTCATAGTCGAACATTTGTTTTTTAGTTAATTTATGAATCTGCAGTTTCTATGGAGAATTCCTTTGATTTTCTTACCTACAGCAGATGCAACCTCACGAGTAGTAATTTTGGTAAATCCATTTTCTCGATAACCTTTTAAAAAATCCAAAATACTTGAAACAGCAGCAAAATGTATATCCAAAAAGATTGAATTGAAACCATTTGAGTATAGAATAAGTTTTATTAATATACCATACCAAAATACAATGCAGCCAGCAGTCACAAATAATTTTTGCGAAAGTGTGAATCAACTTTAGTCTGTAAGCCTTTCGAACCTCTAGATTAACATCTTCCATAAATTAATTTGTATAATTTTCCAAGTTATTATCGAAACTTTATTTAAATGTATTCTAAAGGATAGTTCAGTGGTCATAAAGCTATTAACTCTAAACCTCAAACAAATTAGGGTTAGCTTTCAAACCTCCTGGAATCTGATAGGAAAAGACTAGATTAGCTCACACGTTATTTGGGATTTCACTTGTGTCTCCCAATTTTAATTCTAATACAAACATTGATCCGGTTATTACAGTAGGTGAAAAATTAGAAAGTACAACTGATTTTCACTTAATCCCAATGTATCAATTGGTCCCTATGCCACCTAGGCTATCATTTTTTTATTTTAGGTAAAATAAAATTCTCAATTAATGATCAATGATCCTATTTTAAAATCTTATAATCAACTCAAATAAGCATGTTCCTAACTATCTTCGTTTCTCCGGATCTCAATGAGAGTGAGAGCCTATTTGCCCCTTCTCCCTCTTATATGTTTTTTTTAAAATAGTTCTTATTTTTTTTTTTTTAAATTGTTTACCTATATTTTTTTTACATGTTATTTTAACAGTTTTAAAAATAAGAACAATACGTTATTTCCACAAGATATTCCATCTGTATGTAGATGCTAAGAAAATAAAACTTAAAGTTGTAACAACCAGCTCTATAACATGGTTTTAGGATTGTTTATGATTTCTCCGCATATTGGCTCAATTATAGTCTTTGGCCATGGATGTTTTCTATGTTTTTGACGCAAATGAATGCCTTTATTCTTCGCTTTCCTTAATCTCTGCTCCCATTTGTTAAGTAAAATGAATCACATAAATAATAAGGATTGACAAAAATACAATTTTTATCGGAATTCTTACTACAAGATTTGATGAAAAAAACATAATAAATTAACTTTAGATTCAGAACATGTTTCATGTCATATTATCCATCTATATACCTATTTAAGTTTCCTCTTTTTGCATATTTTTATGCCATACTCAAGTAAAAGCTTAACAAAGGTAAGTCGTAAGAACCGCCCTGCACTGAAATCTCAACAATATATGTTAAAACTGTTTAAAACGGATAAGTAAAATATCATGAAATTTTATTCAATGCATCTCTGGAATTTTATCAGGGTTAGGAACACAATTATTCATATAATCTCCTTTTCCTTAAATTTTAAGGGGTAGAGAAACTGGCTAAAAGATACGTATTAGTAAAATTGTCAGTTTTCCGTGATTTTTTATTTACAAAAAATCTAAAAAAATATATATACCCTTATGTGTTCCGTAAAGGGCTAAATCCCCATAATTTTCCCGATCCAGGACCCTGCATATATTAGATATTCTCTATTTAGTAATACTTGTCTTCATAATAATTCATCTAGGAGTTATTGTTTATTGATCGATCCTTTTATATTTTTGTATTGATACATTTTTTGGCCTATCGATCTCACTTCTTCCTCTCTCTCGTTTAAGCCCCTGAATATTATCATACTTTAAATGTACAATTTAAATTTATTTAAATTTGAATAAACACCAACTTAAAAAAGGCTAACGCGATACTTTATATTTATCCTATGTTAAATATATTAGGTTTTTTTCAATTAAATATATCGTTTATTTTTGGTTTATTATTAATTCTTTTATTAATAATAAAAAGATCTATTACAAATTTAATTATATAAAATCTTATGTATTGCGTAATCATAAATATTTGATAATTATCTATTCATAAAAAATAGGGGTTCGATATATTAAATAGTAAGAAAAAGGTATGTAAATCCAAAAATATTTATAATGGATATTATATTTATAAACTAATGTTTCCAGCCAATATTCAAACAGCTGTTTCATGGCGTGAGTTCGTAAGATCATAGTATTCAATAGGGTCCTTAACAAAATCTTTTCGATGACTTAGAGTATCATTGTAAAGGTTATCGTCACTTAAGACATTATAATACTCAATTTCGGAAAAATTATGATTAGCGGGGATTATTTTTTCAACGAAAATATCTGGATTCATGATTCCATTTTCCAAGGTATCTATTTGAGAATCCGCGCTATAATCTAGTTCACAGCCAGATGATTCCGTTGATAAATGGCTATTTTTACCATTGCATATTAAATTATGATAGAGGACATTACCGTTGGGTTGTATATTTGGTTTATCATTTTGAAAAAACTTTATATGATTATTATCATCAAAGTTACTATGGTTACTGATATGATTAGGATATACTACGACCGGGAAAGATTGATATTCTTCGGGTAATATAGGGGAATTGGACGGGGTGTATTCCTCACGGATATACATAATGTCGGGATAAAGGTTTTTAGTATCATAATAAGATATCTGGTCCTTTTCTCCTAACGTTAATTTTATTGGCCGGAGTTGCCCATTCAGTACGTTTTCTTTTGCCATTTTGTCATCGTTTTTGCTTCGATGCTTCAATAATTTCGCCTTGCTCCATATAGATTTGTAAGCACTAATTTTTTGCGGGGATGTCATAGAATGGGCAGCTAGAGGGTTAATGTTATTCTTTAAAGAACCGTTGAGTAGGGAATTGTTTTGACTGACCACACTAGATTGACTATTATCCTCTTGGAATCTGGTAAAATCTTCTTTAGATTTATGGTCACCACTATAAATTTGAGATTTATCCCTAGAATTTAATTGGACAAGTGTTTCAGTTTTGATCTTTTGGTGCCTATTTGAATTCCAAATTTTTTTTTTTGTATCAGAGGAAACCTTTCTATCAACCATATGATGGTGCAGTAAATCGTCGTCTTGCAAAGAAATATTATTTACCGAAATATCGTTTTTGATTCTCTCAGAGGAGGAAGCGTTGCTAGAGTCTGAAACATCGTGAGATAAAATGAGTACAAAAGAATCCTCTAGATTTTGGTAATCACAATCAGACTGTGATATAGTTGGCAGTGATTTTGAATCTAAAATTGTTTGAATGGCATTCACAGAGACATCGTTTCGGCATATTTCGATATGATTGTTATATTGGTTACTATCTTTTAATTTTGTAACCATCATATTGCAATCTTCAGATAAGTGGTTTTTATTGGTATTTACTTCGATTGATTGCTCATACATTGGAATCAAATTTTTATTATCGTCATTATAATGTTTGTTTAAAGATTCATTTAGGGTGCTCGGCGTAAAATATTTGGGCACCGTTTGTCGCGCTAAACAGCACCTATCGAAATACTTGTAATCTCCTTTAACCTTATCCGTTTTATCGAAAGAAGTATTATGATATGCTTCTATATTGAAGAAGGAAGAATTTTTCGACACATCTAGACTGGAATAGTTTGACAAAGTATCGTGATGATTGACATTTTCTGTTGAGGATTCTTCAAATTTTCTGTAATCACCACTCTTGTACCCTTCGAGATTCATACGTTTAAAAGGGCTTTTAATATCTGAAGTTTGGAAACTGTCATTCGTTGTAGAATTTGATTTGAGAGAAAGAGTCGAGAGCCATCGTGGTATGTTGAGATTACTGGTTGTTCTTTCTACCATATCTCTTATCCCATCGGAAAAGTTGCTATCAGTGAGAGGGTTACTCTCCAATCTTACGTTTTTACGCGAATAGTTCAATTCGTCGGTAGTGTCTAGACTCATCAAGCTTTTATATTTAAAATCGTGGGTTTCGTGATTCATGTTACAGAAAATTTCGTCAATATTAGTCTCGGCCACCAAAACCTGAGAGCCTAGATCGTTCTTAGCCCTATGGTATGAACTGATATCCAGGTTGGATCTCTTGAAATTGTATTTCGTAAAATTATTTTTGATTTCTTGGTCAATTTTATCCTTTTCGCTGTTGTAATTCAATAGCAGCACGTTTCCGGCGCTGATAGATCGTTGTTTAGACATGTTTTCTTGGCAATTGATTAAGTATTTATCCATATGATTCTTTGAAGGTAGCAACCTTTTTATAGAATCCTTCATCATGCTATCGAATAATTCGTTAGCTTTAGACATTTTGGGATTGTAAGGTACAATTAATTTGCCTGGTAGTGATTCTTCGTTCAAAAGGTTTCTGCTAATATCGCACATAGATTTCGATATCAATTTCGTCAACACAGGATGTTGCTGTAGTTTTGACGGGTCACTGGCATTTAAAAGGGTCTTTCCCCTTCCGGTTTGAAGGTTCGAAGATTTTTTAAATTTATTCAAAGCAAATTCAAACTTTTTATCTACTGCGTTGGTTGCATTATCCTTAAATTCCTGCGCCAACGATTGATGGTTGATATATTTATGTCTTAACCTGTTAATCAATGCTTTTGAAGGCGAAACATTGTCCATAGAACTTTTGATATCTGTGAGAGCAGCTTTACTACTGATGGAATGATCAAAGGATAACGCAGCTTCCTTTTCCTCCGTTTGTTGAATTTTGACACCATTGAATTTCTTGAAAGCGTTTTTAGTCATTTTTGGCTTGTCACTAGATGTAATAGTATTAATATGATTATCATTAGTGAGGAGTGTGAGTTCTTTCAAAACTTCACTCTTATTTATAATGAAATTTGGTAAAGGTGGTGGCTTGAAGATACATGTCGACGATTTATTAAAATTAATATTATCACTGTGATCCGAGATATCACTACTTATTTTCTCTATATTGTCACCTTTGCTAACCTTACAACTAGCATTGTTTATTGTTTTACAATGATCGGTAGTTTTGTGATTGAGATCTTGTTTGCATGCAAGATTTCTTGTAGGTACGATATTTTTATCTGGAACTAAGGATCTATTCATTTTACTAGGTATCTTATCCCATATTTTGGTTAAGCTGTTGTTTTTGGTAGTATCTTTGTAATAAGGGCCACTTCTAGATATAAAGCTGGCAAATTTTGAGCTTACAAATCTTTTTCTGTCATTCGAAGAAGCTACGTTAAAGCTGTCTACCAATATATTCAAATTTTTAATTTTATCTTTATCACCGTTCGAATCTTTAATTGTGTCTTTATCACCTTTCAAGGTATTAATTTTTTCTTTATCACCAGTTTCAATTGTTTCGGGTTTTATACAAATATCCTCATCCGCTGATTTGATAGTATTCGCAGATATTGTGATGGAGCTCTTCACGTCAACGTTTATGTAGTTCGCGTCGACATTAACCATAGTATCACTTTCTTTGCTCTTTGATTGTTCATAAGTAGGATTAGATAAGATTTTATCATTTTCGGGCCTAACTGATAATCCCACTTTATTAATCCTATCAGGAATTCCCTTGTCATAGTGATGAGAATCCTCTTTACTATTAATCGATGGAGATATCAGTTTGATCTGAGTTTTGGTTGGCAGCTTACCCCTGTGATCGATAGTGGTCCTGACAACTTTGCTGCGACAAATAACGTCATCTTCATCTGAATCCTCCTCAGGACCTGGAAGCCAATGACCGGCCCTGTCTTCGTAAGGAACCTGGTGCTCTATAACATCGTTAGAGAGGGTTATCTTCTTAATGCGAGGTAAGACATTTATAATTCCTGATTTAGAGTTCAAGTTAAAAGTTGTTTCATTTATCATATCTTTAGGTACCGCATCGTTAAAAAAATCGTTTTTAACCGGAGTTTTAAGAACATTATTTTTGTGATTGATTAATATTGGTTTAAGATGTTTGTGTGGGATAATATCTGGCGGAAGAAAAAGAGGTGTCTCCTTTTTCAAAGAGTGGTGGGGATCATGTTCTCCATTCTCATTATTACTTACTAACGTGCTCATCAATGAAACTAGATTGGGTCCGTCTTGCTCCTCTAAAAATTCGATGTCGTACGCGGTTACGGCGTAAAATCTTTCCTCTTCCTTCATCTTTTGAATCTCTTTTTCAAACGGGGAATCGTTGAGTAGAATAGACTCTTCGTCAATATCTGTCTTCGTTTTGATAATCTTGTCATATATATTATAATTCATTTGAGAATCCGTTAATACCTTGCTATCATTATCGTAATCGTCATCAACTAGAGACTTTTGAAGCGAAGAGATTTGCTCACAATTTGATAAAGCAGGTGATGGTGTGTTCTCTTTGAGCTTATTAGGGTCATATCGTGAGGCCTCTAAAGATTTTTCAATTGCTAAAGCGTAGGTCTTGACCTTGTTTTCTCCCCTAGTTAACCTAGTAGATGCTTGATTGAGATTTTTGATGATACATGAAGTTGAAACCTTGATGGAAAAAAGCGTTGTAGAATGATGATCAGAGTCGGGCAACTCACCATTTGTTAATGAACCATGGAACTCTGGTGCATCCTTATTCAATGTCCTACAGTGGATATCCATTTCATCCTCGCTTTTGTGATTCTCTTGGCCAACAATGTTAGAAGATAAGATTTCTTGCTCTTCTGAAAATCCTTTTCCATTAGGAAGTGGGTGATTTAATATATCATTTTTTTCCTCCCCAAATTTCATGGTAGTAGTTTGAAAGGCGGCTTTCGCACTCGATATAGTGGTGGCATGAGCGGTGGCTCTGGCCAGAGCTAGAAATGGGTTTTGACCAATAGCACGAACACGGGCGTAAGCGCAAAATTTATCAGTTTTATCGTGTAGGCTATTGTCTCCGTTTGCAGAATTGGGTGAGTTATCTTTTAAAAAAAATAGAAAGGTATTACTATGTCATAATTTATAATATATTTAGGCGCAAAGACACGAGTATATGCTACCGGCGATATAAGCAATTCTAAGTTAATTCGTATATAGCCGAAAGAGACCTGAAAAATCTATTTTCAGCCCACCCGCTGCTGGCAATTTTATTTTTCGGATTAGGCATGGCCAAATGGCGGCCCGAATTTTTTAAAAAAACTTGCCAGAAAAAAATCACAAACTCAAAATATTTTTATTTTCTTATTATAAATGTTAGGTATTAAATTTAAATATTCAGCAATAACTTTGATAATTTAATGATGTTTATCTAATGAAAATTAATAGTAAATATTACCAACTGATTTGTTTGTAAAAAAAAACTCTTTATTTTTTTAAAATTCTTTTTATAATTACGTGATAATAAATCAGGCAAAAGAGTTAAAAAATATAAATTTAATATTTTTAGGCCAGGTCACGGGCCATATTTTATCGATGTTCCGGCGGTTCTTCGGTAATAATTTCTAGTATATAAATTAAAATGACAAAGGCTCATCGTTATATTGCCGTAGAATAGATGGCCTATAAATTACTGATATTAGATTACAGCAAAATCAGATTTTTGTATTTAAAGTACATTTTTGTTTCTCAAATTAAAAAACATATATAATGTGTTGTATATAGAAAATTATCCTAATTAGATTTTTTCAACTTAACGGATGTCTTTAAAACATTCAGTTGACTTCTACACCCTCCTCCATCACTAAGATAATGAGGATTTTACCCCCTCATAAATTCCTCTTATCAAATCAAAATTAGCCGAAATCAAAATTACACTTACCCCCTCCAATTTATTTAAATGCCGATAACATCTTCACAACTACTATCAATTCCAATTTCAATCTTCTCTCAGATCTTACAGATTATATATGTTGGTTATTATACCTACCCGTTAATGATGCTAATAAAATGGCTAAATTTAAAAACAGAGTTGGACAAAGAATGCACAAACTTATTTTTTAAAGATAATTTTTGACAAAAGCATAGTGTTCCAAATATGCAAAGTTAACTCGATGTGTAGAGAAATATTATACTATACCAGTTTTCGTAACAAATTATATCTAAATAGTTAAAGAAATTGAGTTAAATAGCCAAAAATATAACAAAAGGCACACGAACTACCTTCAATTATGGTTATGTCATGGCAAAATATCTTTAATTCTTTAATAAATTATTTATGCAATGAAAACAATTTACCGATGTCCACAACTTATTTCTGAGGAATATTATAGGATATCCATTTTTATACCTCATTTAGACACTCTAGATCTCTCGATTTATGATCCTGTGAACATGTAACAAACTCCAAATTTTTATTATTTAAATTACATTATCAATTGCTAACGAAGTCAGCGAGTGAGTTTAGTAAAATTGCAGAAAAATTATCAATTCTAAAATTAATAAAGCAGACACTTTAAATTTCCTATCTTTCTAAATGACAATATGTGTAGTAGATGAGTTTTAGATCAATAAAATTAGTTTAAAATTATTTATTAATAATGTATAATGATAGATTATCTTAAATATGGTTTTTCCATCGTAACAGAATCGCGGACAAAGGATTTTGTTCTGAAATTACCAAAAAACAAATAATTTGATTTTCTTTTAAACTAAAACATACTCTTATTTTCTATATGAAAAAGCACTTACATCCATGGAAAGGAATTAGTTAATTTTGGTATTTAACACTTATTATATGAAAATGCTATTTTCAGCAATCCTTAAATGAGCGATAATATGTTGTGCACAAATTTACCAAACTTTTCAATGTATACATAACGAATTTAATAAAAAACAGAGCGCTAAAAATTTGATAGATTTGATTACTTGTAAAATAATACTAAAAATTAGACTTTAAAGTCTAATTGAAATGCTAGCACCTAAAATTTAGCCCAAAAATTATTTTCTATAAATTTTCGCATTCATTAATCAAGTTTAACTTATTTAAATGGCCTTTTTTTAAAAAAACAATTATACATCTAGGATAAGTGTTTATTGTATTAAATTAACTCACAAAATGAAGAAGGGCCTACAGATTTTAGCATTAATTTTGTTGGACAGATAATGTTAAAATATGCAAACTTTTTTGTTTGTTTCAATAATAAAGTTAGGTAAAGGGGTGGGGGGGGGATAGGAGCACAGTAGATCAAAAGACACAAACATAAGGACAATTCTATTTATTCTTAAAACTAATTAAGAATTAAAATTTAATCCTAATATTTATAATTATGATATATTCTGATAAAAAAAAATCTCACAAAATAAAGTATTTATCGCGAAGATGTTAATAATTTTATATTTGATTAATTTTATCTAGAGTTTTGCTTATAATATAAAATATTTTATTATTAAAATATACAAATATTTGTATAATCCTATGTATGGTCGAAAGTATTCTGTTAGTACAATAAGTCCTCTCTTTCACTTGAAAAATCAAAATTAATTTAAAAAAAATTGATATACTTTAAAAAAATTATAAACATTAGATGCAACCTTTACTAAACTATAGTCTGAGGTGCAGATTTGATAAGAGTTTTTTAAGAAAACCGGTCTGCTATACCTTGGTCTCCCTTATCTACTATTAGAATTAATATTGTATTTTTTATGAATTATTAGATAACCAAAATAAAATTATACATTGAATTTAATAATATAAGTAGATTATAATTATATGGAAATAAAATACACAATGCAACAAAAAAAATCTGTTTTATATCTAATCCAATATAATACTTTAGGGAGGCAGAAATTTAAAATGTTAAAACACAAAGAAAAATGGTATAAATTAAAAGATATATGGCACCCGATCAGACCTAATTAATATTATATAAAAATATATTAATTAGACTATATATTGCTAATATTCAATCTTAAAATTATTTATCTTTAACACCTTATTTATTATACAGGAACTTCTATCAAGGGAGGTGGCAGTATGATGCAGAATCGGGAAAGAAGGGTATTTTGATCTGGATTTCCTTTTTATAATACTTATTTTGATTATGGGGTAGGGGGGTAATATCAACATTGTATGGTGGGGAGGGGGTGTAAAGTCTCTGATCTAATAGTAGTATTTTATTTTTTAAATTGTAGATGGCATGAAAGCGGAGATGGAATCGCACTATTAAAATTCAACAAATAAATAAAAGAGTAAAATTAAAAACATTGTAAAAAATGATCATCTTGAGCAAATAAAAACCTTTTTCAAAATAACTATTTGACTTTGAAGTATATAGAGGGCGGCATTGGGCTTCTGATAGAACCTCAATTTCATATTCACGCGGTTTTTGGCTAATCGAATCGATGCGAATGTCTTGGGAATTTTGGGGATATGGGAAGTTATCGTTAGAAGACTTTTGGTCAAAATTATATTTCTTGATACTTTCCGAGGTGCTTATATTGATATTCTCGCATAATTTGGAGCTTTTGGGTGGGCTAATTTCGATATTCAGTTGAGTTCTTTTGGATGGGCTAATTTCTATATTCAGTTGAGTTCTTTTCGATGATTTGGAATTTGCATTGGTACTGATATTATCGCGAGAAAGGGAGTAATCAGGAGAATTTAAAATGTCGTGATTTTCATTATATATTGTGGAAGGCTCGTTTTCTTTGATTTCCGTGATTTCCAACCCGAATTTGCGATCGATAAAATTATTATTTCTGTCATCATCCTTTCCCAGTGAAGTAGAATTGAACGTCGAATTCGGTGAAATTTGCAAACTATTCGTATGGATTTGATTCTTATTCGACGTGAGGGCACGGATAGATTCTCCTCCTTTTTGGAAGTTTATATCGGTGAATCGAGGTATTAAACTGACAATACTCGGTTTGACTTCTTCAAAGTTTTTAACGAGACTCCCTCTCCTTTCCTCGAGCGCGAAATTGTCCAGAAATTCCGCCTTCCTTTGTTTCGTGGGTAGTATGTCGATTACCTGATTAACTTGGTTGTTTAAGGTCGAAAAAGTTTTAACCGTATTTTCCCGGAAACTAATATTATTTTTATTCTTTCTATAATTAGTTGAGGTCGGTCTGTGCCGAAAAACATTGTACTCCTTATTATGGCAAAATTTTTCAGGGTAATCCGTATGATATGTTAATTTTGCCCGGGGCTGGGTAGAACTCTCGCACGAATGAATTGGGGATGCTATAAAAGTAGGCAGTCGGTTCACCTTATCGAAACAACTACTATTCAAGGTTAAAATATCCGCCGAACCACTATTCGACACAGGGAGCGAGAAATCGGGTGACAAATTGTCATTCGCGATATTTTGACTGATAAAAGTGGCGGTAGGTGTAGAATGAACATAAGGTAAAGATGATTGATGCTGGTAGATTTCGTTTTCGCGTGACGATGTTTTTTCGAATAAGGAATGATCTGTCGGTATAAAAGATAAAGTTTAAAATACAAACAAGGAATTTATATTATATATCTTTATCTTAAAAACAAACTATAATAATAATAATGATCAATTTATAATTGCTTGGTAATTGATGTTAAGTACGTTAGCTTTATATAGATCAAGTGTTTCTTAAATTGTTATAATAAATGCATGTATAAGAATTATAATGTAAGTAATTATCTATTTATTTGTCATGTTTATTTTTTGATCATAATTGAGATCATAATTTTTTTAAAATATCTTTTAGAATTTATATTTAGCATTTAAAAAAATAATAACTATATATTGATTTCCACGCAATTCGACCTCATTTTTTTTTAAACTGACAACTATGCAAAAAAGTAAAAAGATGGTTAACCATTTCAATGTGTGATGAGAAGATTATTTTCACAATGTAAGGTTAACAATTAGAGTCTAATTTGAGGCCTTTTTATCAAATTTATACAATTTCCTTTAATTTAAATCACAGACTACAGGCCCGGCCCTAAGCCCGGTCCGGGTACCGGGTCGTATTTAATTTTTTTAAATATACCCGAGCCGGACTTAAAAAATTTTTTTTAAAAAATACCCGGCCCAGGCTGCATATTTAATCGCCAATATTATCTATAAAAATTAAAAATATTTTTATAAAAAATTTGGGCCGGGCCTGAATTTATAACCCAGGCAGGGCATAAAAATTATTTTAAAAAAAATATGAACCGGGAAGGGAGGTGCAAATGGTACCTCTGCAGGTCCCTGATTTAAATATAGACAGAAATTATCAGGAAGTTTAGCATAAAGGGTCCTTATTCAGCGATGAAAATTAGACTGGGCACACCGCCTGGATATTAATATATGGCATATTAATGACTGCCCACTAGTTGGAACTAGATAATTATTGATCAAAACGTAGAGTCATTTGAGCATCAATGTTGATTAAAATTAAAATTAATTACATTAAATTATTTCCAACTCAATATTTAAAATAATAAAATAAATGTCGTGACTTAAAATAATAAAAATATCATCGAATCCATAAAAGTTTATACGCCTGATATTTTATCATTTTAAAATATCATTTTACGGAGTAAAAAAAATTTTGTCTTCATTCTTAATATAAAATAAAGTTGGTATAATTTTACCTGCAAAAATAAAATATCTCGCCATTTTTTTAAAATATAAATGTTACATAATGTTATGAACACCCTACCCACTCATAAATATGCAATTATATAAAATTTGATTCATTTCTTATAATTTGATGGAAATGGACGATTGAAATAGGTTCGGATCGGAACATCTAACATTCAATACAATCAATAATTAACTCACATCATTTTTGTTTTGCAAATGTATCCACAAAACAAAATTACACTAATTTTTCTAGTGGAGGATATTTTTTTTAAGGTTAAAGTTAACCCAATGAAACCTGCCTAAATTTAATATGACCGAGATAACCTAAGTTATTTATACTTAAAAAATAGTATAGTTCTGGGTCCGAATACAGCAAGATCCATATTTTTCTCCAAAGCCAAATACGTGACCCCTTCCTAGGTAGGATGATATATAGTAGATCAGACTCGACCAGATTCCGTTAATATATTTAAAAAAACAAATGGGTCTTATTACATTTTATAACAAATTGATTTTTGTTTAGCATATTAGTCTAAATAATTAATTTGTAATTTTTTTAAAAAGGTTTCAAACTAAATAAATAGTATAAAATATTTCTGATTTTTTTTAAATTTGAAAAATAGCTTAAAATTTTTTTTTTAATTGTTTTTCTAAATTCGAACTCGAACTTTTGTTTTTCTATATTCGAACTCGAACTTTAAAAAGGGAATTCGTTTAAATTTTTCTTAGAACCTGATATATATATAACAATTTCTATAAAATATTTTGATATCTACCTTTACTTTCAGCTTTAATTTAATGAAGCTCAACTCAATTTAAAAAATAAATAAATAAGGTATAAACAGGGATATTTTGAAAAATGGGTTAAGCTATTTTTATTAAAGATTTAATATCTAGCTCAAATAGTTTTGTTAAACGACTCGATTTGTTGAAAAGGCTAACCCAATATTTTAGCCAAAAATTATTATGCAAACCTGGAAATTTGTAGATGGCAGAAAGGTTTGGACATCTATTAACGAAATCTGGAGCCTTGCGTAATATTTTTTTGGTCAAAATCTTAATTTAAAATAGAGCCGTTTAACAACCTACTCAGTGACTCTTAAATTAAATTGAGAATTTTTATAATTGTACATAATAAATTTTTAAGCAACCCAAAATGGTATGAGCCAGTGACGCGACTGATGCAATTTTCATATAAAATGAATTGTCAAATAGGAAAAATAAAATTTACAATTTATAAAATTTAGCATATGAACCCTAAATGTATTATTTCTAAGTGAATCCTTTATAATACCTACGTTTTAAAATTCAAATGTTTATTTTTGGTATAAAATGCAAAACAGCATTTTAAAAAATACTTCCATTAATTGGAATGTATATAAATTTTATCGGAATATGGAAAGATTTTTAATTTAAAAAAAAACCATTGGGGAAAACATATGTTTTAATCGTAAAATAAGAAATTAGTAATAAAAAGCTGAATTTTTTAGTTATTTTTTAAACCAAAATTAATGATTTCTTTTGTACAAAATTTATCATAAAGAATACTATATTATCATTAGGTATGGCAGGGTTGTTAAAAACCTCTATTTCAATGAGTTTTAAAGAAATATTATATGAAAATTTTAGCAAAAAAATATACCTCCTACATTTCGAACCTTCGCCAGAAGCGGGCGCCAACTCTAATAGGAGCTATTACAGACATTTTTCAAGAAATAAAAAATTTAAAAAACTAAATACGGGGTTAATTGTACCCAAATCTAGTTGGAATTAATAATACTGAAAGGGCCGGTAAGAAAAAAAAGAGATAAGAAGTAATCGATAGCTATTTCGGGTTTGAAATTATAAATCAAAATTACTAAACCAAATAAAATTTTCAATGTAAAATATTAAGAATAATATAAAGCAATGATAAACAAAATTATGCAAAAGTAATAATGAATTACAATGCAAAAGTTTAAGTTAAAAATTTATTTTTAATTTTATGACAGACGAAATCTATCCTATAAAAAAATTTATATGACTCATCTCTACTGTTTACTGCTCAAATCAAGTCGTTTAACAAAAGTTACCTCACCTTTGAAGGAAAGAATGAGTGTCAGGCCGGTAACTAGGAAGTTTCAATTAAGAGGGACAAAAGTTTATTTGGGGAACCATTATTTTTTTTTATAAACCTTAAGAAACAAATTTGGAGACCAATGGAGACCAGCATTATTTTTTTGAGGGGGGAAGGAGAATAGCTGGAGTGGGTTATAGCTGTAAAATACATGATCTATCGGAAGGCTTATTGCATAAAAAAGGTTAAACTACGTTTATATTTATTGTCAATAACACTGGTTTTTAATTTAATAAGTTAAGGTTGTGTCTAAAATTTGTTTTAATAATTCACAAATATTTCGAAATTTTCAGAAGTTCTAAAATTTTCTAGAATTATAATTTGAAAATAAGTTTTTATTTTTATATTAAAAAAGCAAGTTTGGAAATTTTATTTTATTTTAGAAACAGCCTTAAATAACAAAATTCATTTTATCAACAACAATGTATAAAATATAATATTTATAAGCAGTAAAAATGAATATTTACTTACTCTGATACTGTAATTGAATATTGGCATGGGAAAGGTATTTCGTCATTTTTAAAAAAAAAAATTTAATATATGAAAGATCAATAAAAAATTAAAAAAATTTATATCCAACAATATTAAAAATATTTGGGCCACAAAAATATCATATTTTAATTTTTTAAAAAATAAAAATATAACTTTTTAAAAATGAATAAAAATAATCGAAAAATTTGTTAACATGCTTTTTTTTACAATTTCTTCTTAAAATGGAATTCTTTGATAATATACAAACGATAAAGAAAAAGGAAAAATTATAACTTTTAATTTTTTAAGTTTAAATAAACAAATTAATTTAAAAGCACCTTTTTTTAAGAGTAAATTTTTTTTTTCCCTTTGAAAATATAATACAGTGTAACCTTTAATTTGAACACTGCTGGAATCGGAAATAATTTTTTACGACTTATAGACCCTTGTGTATAGTTTTTTGCTAAGAAAAATAGAAGAACACAATACATTAAAAAATCGAATTATGCCTAAAGCAAATTTCGATTCGAATTATATTTTACGAATTTCAAATCCCATCGAATTATTCGTATCATTCGTTTTTAAAATATTTCTTCTAAATATTTGAAATTATTCATAAGTATTAATCAACATGTTACTGAAACTTTTTTAATTTTCAAATTAAATCGAATATTCGGCAAATCGAATAATGGTCTGATTATTCGTAGGAATACGAATCAAAATTTTTTATGCGTATACGAATAATACAGATACTCTATTAGAATTATTCGTATTCGATTCGTAATCTTGGTATGTCTAGTCTAGATGGAATGAATACCGAAAGCAAGAACCATTTTTTAAAAAATTAATTTATTTATTTAAAGAAGTGGGGAGTTTTTTTTTTGCCTAAACATATAAAAATAAGATCGTGTGGATATTTAGGGGCAAAATTTTCTTTCCCGAATTATAAATTTTGCAACATATGCAACCAATTCATATTGTATTTGTAATAAATAAACATTTATCTTTTATTAATAATAATAATTAATACAACCCGAGTTCCTTGAATTTCTTAAGTATTATTATTATATAGTATGGCCAATGTGAGCATTTAATGATGGTCAAAATAGATTAGTCAGTCAGAGGCATGCATGCCTGGCCCGAATGGGCCTTTAGATTATAAATTTGAGAATCTTTGAGCGGCCTAATTCAGAAAACCAGGTTCGTGGTAGGCATAAAATTATGAGCCAAATTTTTTTTTTTATTTGAAATGGGGAAATATTTTAAATCCGGAAT